TCTTGGCTGGCTGCAAGCTCTGGGGATTCTAGTGGTTGGTCTTAATGGTGAGCAGTCTTCAGTAGTGGCATCACCATGTCTTCAAAGCTGGGGTGAAGGCTGCTGGTGACAAGGACTCTCCAAGGTTGCATGTAGAGATAAGCACTTGGTTGAAATAAAAGACGCAGCGAAGTTCCTTTCGATGGCAGAAGCCGCTCATTTGATTTATAACGATGGTTGCTTCTGCAATGAACCAGTGTACAAACTGTTTTGTATATTCCTCAATGTTAGCGGTTTGGGGTGATAGTTAGTGGCAGGCTGGCGCAGAGCTACAGGTTTTGTCGCCTCTGGTGAATCCCATAATTGAGCCATTTTATGTCTGCTGGGGTCCTGCGCACCACCATTGTCTGCAGTGGCCACGGTTCTCACATAAATCACCAGCCTCAGCAGTGTCTGTGGCAAATGGTGAAGCAGGGTGGAGGGGTTATTGAAGCTTGCTCCATAACGGTAATCAGTGCACACATGCAAGTTACAGCGGTGTGACTTGTCAAGGCCCTTTGTGCAGTTCAGAACACCATCAGTTAGCACTCTTTTCTGCTCAAGACACCAAGGTTGCGAGTATCTCCCCTTGGGAAAAAAAGATCAGAAGCGCTCTCGGAATGCTTTGACAAGTGGTACCTTTTCAAAAAGTTTTTCTTAAGCAGTTGCTTCGACTAGTTATTCTCAAAAGGGCAACACTTGTCTCAAATGATGGGAACGTGTGATCAAAAATAAAATGTCTCAACTTCTTGCCAGCAAGCATGGTGTGTGCCTTTTATAAGCTTAACAAGCTCCCCATTCATATTGTCGATTAAGTAAGTTGAGTAATTTCATGATGGTATCCAGACTTTTGCGCATTCAACAAGGTGTAGCAGAGCATGTGTATTGAATGTCAAGTGCACATTTCTGTAAATATCTTAAATATCTAGGTACTCTTTAACAAACTGTGAGGACTTGGCAACATAGACAAGGGGACGATAAGGCGAAAATGGCTTTAATAAATAGGAGCTATGACATCAATGCAGTCATGGAGCGCGCGTGCGCCTAGGAGCACGCGCACGCCTTTTGCAACCCCCCTGCTGGTTCGCTGCTTTTAGAAGCTTTCTCTTTTATATGTTTCTTTTATGGAATGCAGACATGGCCTTGCCCTTATTCTGACTCGCCACCACAAGCTTTCATTTTTTTTTTTTTTGCAAAGACGAACTCGCCCAAAGCGACATTCCTGTTACCGTCACTGACAACCTTTCTTTCTTTTTTTTTTTCATCTACGAAATAGCTCACAGCCTCTTTGACTCGTCAGATAATACCATTGAGTTGGCAGGTAGGAATTTCAATAAAGTATCTTTTGATGTAAGTTGGCTTTCTTTGAAGAAAAGAATTGTGCTATTATAACATTTCTCCGATGAGAACAACCGAGAACAGAAGTGATCTAGCCTATTATTTGACAATTATCTGTAGAAGTGTTTCATTCTGATTTCCAAAACACAAAGTAATAGAAGACCACTTCCGTCTTCACTATACCGATTCAACCTGAAAATTGGCTGCATCAGTGCAGCCACTGAAGTAAAATGTAAATTATGTCATGTTTCTAAAAACGAAAAGTATCCCTCGATTATACGGATGCCATATTTCAAGTGTTTAAATTAAACTGGAGCAATCACATCAAAACATTCGCCCCTTCTCTTGTATAGTTGCTAATAAGAGTACAATTTACCCCCCTCCCTGTGTGAGAATACTGAAATCAGGTACTACTAACTGCTTTATTGCTCTTTTTTGGTAAATTTTCAGTCAAGTGCATATTTTTTTGATTGCTGACCTTGAATTTGATGGTACTAAAAAGTAGCTTGTGTATATTAATAAAAATACTTGTACCTCAAATCAATAAAATAGAGTTTATTTATGAACAATACATGGAAACCAGCTACCTGCTGCTAATAAAATTAAAAACCCTGTAAACAAAACAGTCACGGACACCATATTTTTTTCTGAGGACTGAACACGATTGGGCAATTTCACTTGCAAAGCTTTAAAACTGTGTGGAAAATTTCGAAACAAAGAATAATGCAAAGTGTATTGTTACAGCTTATGCACCAGGAGCGAGTTTCCTTCCTCAACTCCTTCCCATTTTCTCCTCTCGTCCGACAGCAATTGAAGCATTTCCTCGTTGGTGCTGCTTTGGCTTTGCTTGGCGGGATGTAAGAAGGAAAGTGCCATTCCTCGAAACGCACAGGGTCAAGGACTGCAGACGGTCGGCTTTGCTTCATCTTTCTTGGAGCATCACCGTACCTATTTAGATTCGACTCAATTAGAGCAAGGCGGTAGTCAAGGTGGTCCATCTTCCTGCCATCTTTTTGGTTCAAGACAAAAGTTAAATGTAGCTTCATCAATCAAGTGGCCAAAAATGTTCTTGTAGCATATCTTCTGCCGCTTTCTAGGGACAAGGTAGTCGGACAGCATCTGATGACTTGTTCACATCACCCATGGTGTGATTATAATCATGCACGATGCTTGGCTTTGTGATGTCTCGTCCTTTCGAATCTTCGACTGTCTCCAGGCTTGCAGTGTGCACTGGCTCATGACAGATACTAGTTTTTTGTCTCGCCATTGGAGGGCAATATATTTACCACTCTGGTAAACATGAACCTCTCCCTTCTTCAGCTTCTTCGTCTGGAAAGCTGGAGGCATATCTTTTCTGCTTGGTCTGACGGTGCCGTACACATTTGTGGGGTGCTTGATATGGAGGTCGACGAGTTCTGGCGAAGTATAGAATTTGTCTATCGTTGGGCAGTACCCCTTGCCTAGCAAGAGCTGGATGAGCTTCGTAACAACTTGGGTTCCCATTGATAGACAAAGTTCGAGATTTGCTGGTGTGCCGAGATTTGTGCCTTTTCTTGTGTACACCAAGACATCCCACACATATCCCACAGATGCCTCACAAAGCAAGAAAAACTTCAAGCCAAATCTTGCTTTTTTTAGTAGGATGTACTGCACCCATCCTAGTCTTCCTTTGGAAAGCATTAAACTTACAAATAATTGATATGTCTCTTTCCTGTATATATGCCGAGTGGTACTTCTGCAACAATCACTCCAAAAATGGCCATATCTTGCTATGCTTCGGCTGCGGATGGCCGCTGAGGTCGGTGATGCTGGCACTGTCCACAAAGTGCAACATTTCCATAATTAGCAGAAACCGGTGGCAGGGCATCACCTCTCTAAAAACAGGCGTAGACCATTTGCAGAAAGGAGTGGCGCTGATGACACACGGCACCGGACTACTGCTTTAGGCGGTGCCTCAGAAGAACGCTGCAAAAAAAAAAAATGGCGCTATTTCTGGAAGCAGCAAGATTGGAAATATTGAAAAGAATCTGTGCATGTACATCACATTTAGCGACGCCGGGAGCATAAAACCGTTCTTTTTTGTCTAGTAGCTTATAATGCGCATACCTGTAGTTTTCTTTCGTTTTGCGTTTTTAGCAGCAACATAAGGTCGTCTGGCAACTATGAACAGTCGGTGTTTTGCTGTTTTTGTTTTTTGTCGTGCTTTTTACATGGCTGCGTCCAGCTGGGTCAGTGACGGACGTGCCGCGTTTCATCGTGGTCCTGCGATGTCTCGGCGCAGAGACAGAGATAAAGCAACAGTTGAGGTGGTCCTGACTCTTGTTGCCCTCGGCTCTATCGAAGATGAGCTAAACGCTGCGAAGGCAAGAGTGATGAGCCTCAAACAAAGACTCGTTATGAACAGCTTCATTTTGACTGCTTCCGCACTGTCCCCCCGAGCCATCAACCGCGAAAGGTGGGCCTATGTGCGCAACGAACGCTGGTTCGAAGACACATTGCCGTGATTAGGCGACGGCCACTTTAAGCAGTGTTTTCGAGTGAGCCCAGCCACCTTCCGTTTCATTGCAGACAGCCTATGCCCTTCGCTAGAGAGGGTCACAACTAATATGCGCAAGTGCATTGCGGTTGAAAAGGTGGTGGCCATCGGCTTATTCAAACTGTGCTCCGTGGCAGAGGGCCGAGTCGTGGCCAGTGTCTTCGGCGTCGGGCGATCGACGGTGAACGGCATTTACAAGGAGTTTTGCGAAGCGATCGTTTATGTCTTGGAAAGCGACTGGATCAAGATGCTGAGTCCATCTGAGATGGTTGAACACATTCGGGAATTCATGGCCGTCAGTGACTTTCCTTAAGCTGTAGGAGCCCTCGACGGCTGCCACTTCCCAGTTTCGCCGCCACAAAAACATGCCACTGATTACTATAACTACAAGGGGTGGTAAGTTGATTTGGCCATTTTGGTAATTAACGTTCGCGTGTAAGGCATCGCACCTAAACATCCGAGAAATCCGCATGTGAACATGTGAAACATCCGAATGTGAACCATTCCTTGTGTGCGAATTGTAAGTTACAAGCTACCTATAGGACTCACAAATTGGTCTCCAGCAACGTCAGTTTCTCGCTAGAATATGCAGCGGCGCATGTTTCTTGCAATTACAGGAATCCAATGGAGAAATCCTCGCTACAAGATTTCTAGAAAACAACAAAGTCTACTCAGAAAAAAACGTAATTGTGCACGCAAGTAAGTGTCGTCAAATGAGAAGCTTGTTGCAAATCACATTTGAGGCCTTGAAGCAGCTGAAAAATTTTCTCATAATCAGAAACATCAGATGAGAATTGGCAATAGTACCTTGCAAAAGCCGTAAAATGCTGCGAAGTGTTAAAGTAACCAAGACGAGCATAAGTTGTGATCGAGATAGTTTACCCGATGTATGTACTGTTATTTAGACGTATGTGTGTATGACTTCCACCTCTGAATGGTCTAAGCTAACGTGCCCATTTTTTTACCCTTGTGCCTTAGCAATCTGTTCATTATTTGTTCTCACTACATTGATATATTTATATCAACATCGCTAGCATTTTTTAAACCAGAGAAGTGTTCTTACCGACTTTGACTCTTATGTTAATGACTCTTGTGTTAATTTTTACAGGTACAGCATTATTCTCCTGGCGCTTGTAGACCACAAGTACCGTTTCAGGTTTATAAATGTTGGTGTCACTGGAAGATGCCACGACTCTCATGTGTATCAAATGTCGAGCTTCTCCGGCATGGTTGAGGGACCACTTTTCAAGGCTCCGGTTGTTACAATAGGAGGCGTTGCCGTGCCACCTCTGGTGCTTTGTGACCAGGCCTTCCCACTTACACCTAACCTCATCTAGCCATTTGGACACAACACCCCACTTAGTGCAGAGCAGAAAAATTTCAATTACCACATCGGCAGAGTGAGACGTGTAGTAGAAAACGCCTTTGGAAGGCTTAAGGCAAGATTTCAACTCACATCGAAAAGAATGGAATGCGACATTGTAAATGCTCGCCTCGTGATTCGCGCATGCTGCGTGCTCAACAACATTTGCGAGCATTTCAGCGATGCTGTTCAGCTTCAATGGCTCCAGGAAGTGAAGCAGTCCGACTCCCAACTGCCCCAACCAGAACGTAGCAGCGATTCACAGATTTGAAATGCAGTCAGTGTGCGTTCTGCACTTGTGAACCACTTCAGCCAGAGGATGCAGACCCGGGCAGCCCGCTCCTAGAAATTTCTTTGTGCTGGCATTTGTAAATAAAAAGAGTGACAGTTTTTCTGCCTCATGTTTTATTGATGAAACCAATGAGGGCATTTACAAGCTTTTCTTGAAGCTGCAGGTGTTTTGATCTTAGCTCTACCTCGGTTTGCTGAGCCCGCTCCAGCTGCTCTCGTAGCATTTTTTGTTCAGCCAGCATAGCTTCTTGAGATTCACGTGCTGCGCTCAGTGGCCGCCGTCGCTTCCTTGCTGCCCGTGCTGCCATACTTGTTGCAGGGCTCTGAGTCGACTGCGTGGTGGGTGCAGGTGGTGGCATCTGTTCAGTTGGTGTTCCTGGTACCGGCGTGCTGTCAGTTTCAATAGCCTCGGAACTGACTCCGCTCTCCATTTCATCGATCATCTGGGAAAATTTAAGAGAAAACGGCTACAAAGATCATACAAAAAAAAAGGAAATTGATCTGAGAGGCAGCACACCACAATCGTAACTCTTGATAATTACATTGATGAAATGAACAGTACAAACAAGGATAGACTTTCATGATGCTGGACAACATTGACCGATGCTGCATATTCAGGGTGAGGTCATACAAATGTTATGTAGGCTAGTTTAGAATATCATTAACAGAATTATGCGACTTGCAGCGCATGTAGCCAAATAATCTGGAAGCATTGGCGCATATGCATTCAATGTGAGTGGATCACGAAACGGTAGAAGTTAGGTAAACACCAAGATATTTGTATCGTGTATCATGTAAGATATTTGTGTTGTTTATATGGTACAAAAAGGTAGATGCAGCACGTTTGTGGCTAAAACAAACAATTTTACATTCATAAACGTTAAGCTTCATTAGACAATTACACACCAAACAGGAACAAGTTCTAAATGTCGGTGGAGGACTTGGTGATCATCGTTAGCCTTATAGAACGATAGAGATTGCAGTCACATGCGAAAATGTGCATGTGTGAGTAAATATTGCTCGGTAAGTCATTAATGTACATCAGCCATGATACATGATATATACTTTCAGGTAAATTGAAAACTTCTGCGAGTCCAATTAGTTCAAAACATCAGCCTATACAATAATTCCGGTGCACTAGTACTTGTATTGATTGCAGGGAAAGTGCACAATGGTGATTTGTTTGTTACACACCTTCTCAAGAGTGTCGCTACTGGTGTCGCAGCAGCTTTCCTCCATGAGGGACGGGTCATTTATTGGTAGGCAGCCAATGAACCTCTTCAGTTTACTATAGTAGGGCCCCGTTGGTGGTGAGGAGCCTGTTGTGAGCTCTCGCTCAATTTTTCCAAGAAAAAAAGATCACAGTCGCTTTCAGTTATCAAGCAACATAGGAAGGCCCCATTATATTATGACCAGCACAGAAATATATAAATACAACCTATGCAAGCTTTTCATAATTTTGTTGCTACCTTCGCTTACAGGTGATACAATACAGCTGGCACCTAGCAACATGCTTCGTACACGGCTCAGGGCACCGATCTTGAAAATTCGGCCTGAGTGGTAAAATGTTTGGTTACTTCTCAAGCATAAACACTCATGTGACTCGAGGCGGGATAAAGGCTGGAACCCAGTTTCCGACGCAGAAAGACTCTTGTACCGCTTCTTACGAAGGTGAACACGTTTAATTGACATATTTATCCAGGTTTTTTTTTTCAAAAAAAGAGCGCAGAGACGCGCCTTCACATAACAAGAGTGTGCCAGCAAAGGTCAGAGAAAGCCCAGCGCACACCCGACGCGCTTATCACCAAGCGTTCTTGTGGGACGCGGACCGCGCATGGTAGGAACGCCATTGAGCATCAGTTGCCGCGCACTCGCAGGTACCGTGGAGTCCCGCGTTCCTCGATATGCGAGGTGCCCATGCATGTCGGGTTTTACAGGCCCGATCTTAACACACACTAAACAAGCAAGTGGGACGCGCACGACAACACGTAGCGTGAGTGACCGTCTTACCTGAATGTCTGCGTCAAGTTGTCAATTTTGCTGTGAACTTGCGCCAGTGTACGGGGAATACTGGCGTTGGTGAGGCTCTCGGCCATCGCCTGGTACACTCCACCATTGTGCTTTTGCCCTCACAAGGCGTCCAAATGGTCCTCCCATAGCTTTATCAGCGCCCAGGTCTTCTTTTCAGTCCACTGGACGCGCGGTTTTTTCTTCACCGACTGAGCCGTACTTCATTGTTACAAGATACTACGTCGCCGACACAGCAGCTGCTGCTGCCAACCCTAACATGATCACGCTAGTGACGTAATGCAGGCGTTTGAGAGTATGGACAGACTATAGGCCTTCACTTTTCAACAAATCGCACTGCTGCTGAAAATGAAAACATTTTCTCAGCGCAAAAAAAATACTGACAGGGAACCACAGTGTTGCGACACGTTTTCTTCTATTTATAAATTGTGCACACTGTATGCGAGAGTACTCCCTTCCTGCCAGAAAAGTAGATGTGGGATCTGCTTTTGCGAAAAGGATCTTTGCTGGAAAGGAGTTACTCCTTTGTCGTGTGTCACTGCGCCCGAACTCCTTTCCGAAAGATGTCCCCTTGTCTAAAGGGCTTCAGGGCGCCCGTGTGTCAGGGGCATTAGGCGACAAAAGGGGTTTACTTCAAAGTACTTTACTTTTGCCCGTGTGTCACGAGTATAACTTGTTCTTGGACCAGTACCGCTACTGTCAAGGCTTGTGAACTATGACTGCAATAGCAGTAGAGCAAGGAATAACCGCTTCTTTTTCTTTGTCAGTGGCACCCATTTTGTAAGCGAAAATGTTTACTTGGAAGAGAACATTTTAACATTTGAGCCGCTTACCGGTTGGTTTCGTCTACCACTAGTGATATGAGTTCATCGTCCAGAAACTGCTGAACATATTTTGTGAGGTCACCAGGCGATGACAAGTCGAAAGTCTTGCCTGTAGCGGCCAAAAATGAAAAGTGTGGAAGCTCCATAAGAGGATTGTGCACATCAAGCACGATCCACTGGAGAGCACTCGCGATGTTTACTTCAGAGTTGCCTTCCCCATCGCTGGAGAAGCTGCTCAGTTCACTGTAACCGCTGTCATCACTTGCGGACACAAGATAAACTTGAATCTGAATCATCATCTCTCAAAATAGTTGTCTAGAAAGAAAATCTTCTTTTAGTGTTGATGCGGAAGCTGCATGTGAGCCGCCGCACCGCACGCCATCTTTCCTTACAAAAACAGTGCTCCTGTCACAAGAGACATTTAATTAATCAAGTTAATGATGTCGTCTTGTGAATAACACGCAATGTAAGCTGTAAATGCGAGCTTCTCCGCCTGAACGCTAGAGGGGAAGGGGGGGGTACGTATTCCACAAGGATGAGCTCTTCTCGTTCAAAGCAGTTAAAAGGTTAAAAAATTTTTTAAGAACATTCAGGAGGCGTGCACATGAATTGCTTTTCTGTTTTTCTCAATTTAAAACAAATTACCCAGTAGCCACCAGGCAGTTCCCGTTTTGCCCACCAGATCCGCAGGTCACAGTTAGCCTCTAACAAAGCTGTCGTGAGTACTACCAGGACACCTTGACGTCAGCTGCATGATGGCACCATCAGCAATGTAGATAGCTTGTACGTTGATCGTGTACAGGCCTTTTCTGTTTTTGTACCGGCGTTTCTGGTTCTTAGAAGGCTTGATTTTCACATTAGTGTCATTAATACAACCCAGGACCTTGGGAAACTCTAGGAGCTGCGAAAAGACAAAAAATAGGATGAATGAACAGCAATTGAAAGTGCTGCTAATAGATATTAGCCAGCAATGCAATGACATTGTTTTGTCAAGGCCACCAAACATATATTTGCAGAAGGTGAGCACAAGAACTGCTTTTCTGTTTTTCTCAAGTATGCCTTTCAAAACAAATTACCCATTCACTAGCTGCCAGGCAGTTCCTGTTTTGCCAACCACATCCACAGGTCGCAGCCCTAACAAAGCTGTCATGAGTGCTACCGGGACACCTTGACGTCAGCTGCGCGATCAGCATTGCAGATAGCTTCTACATTGATCGTGTACAGGCCTTTTCTATTTTTGTACAAGTATTTCTGGTCCTTAGATGGCTTGATTTGCACACGAGTGTCAATAATACATCCCAGGGCCTTGTGAAACTGCGATCTGCGAAAAGGCTCAGAATAAAATGAAGGAACAGCAAATAAAAGTGCTACTAAGACATATTAGCTGGCAACACAATCGCATTGTTTCGCCAAGGCCAACAAAAAATATATTTACAGAAGGTGAGCACATGAACTGCTTTTCTGCCTCAAGTATACCTTTGAAAAGAAATTACCCAGTAACCAGATGCCAGGCAATTCGTGTTTTTCGAAGCACCTCGGCAGGTCACAATTAGCCCAAACAAAACTGCAGTGACTGCTCCTGGGCCACCTTGACGTCAGCTGCATGATGGCATCATCAGTGTTGCAGATAGCTAATACGTTTATCATATACAGGCCTTTTCTGTTTCTGTACAAGTGTTCTTGGTCCTTAGGAGGCTTGATTTACACGTTAGGGTGATCAATACATCCCAGGATCTTGGGGAACGCCAGGATCTATGAAAAAGGCAGAAAAGAAGATGAATGAATAGCAATTGAAAGTGCTGCTAAGACGTATTAGCCAGTAACGCAATAACATTGTTTCTTCAAGGCCACCAAAAATATATATTTGATGAGGCTAGCACACGAACTGCTTTTCTGTTTTTCTCAAGTATACCTTTTAAAACAAATTACCCAGTATCCAGTTACCAGGCAGTTCCCGTTTTGTGAACCACCTCGGCAGGTAACAATTAGCCCAAGCAAAGCTGTCGTGACTGCTCCCGGGCCACCTTGACGTCAGCTGCGTGATGGCACCATCAGCGTTGCAGATAGCTTGTACATTGATCGTGCACAGGCGTTTTCTGTTTCTGTACAAGTGTTTGTAGTCCTTAGGAGGCTTGGTCTACACATGAGGCCCATCAACACATCTTGACAATGCATTAACTGTCGACAGCTGTATTTCAATGCCACCAACTCGGTCTGCTAGGGTAGATATTTTTCTCTCAATATCA